AAAAACAAACTATCAAATCATTAGTCTTATTAAAAATGAACTATATATCTTCACACATAACATTAATTAATTGTTATGAGTATATTTTTTTAACATTATAGAGTTAATTTACTTGAAATAAAATAATTATTTAAAAAAATCACCTAGTGATTCAAATACAATTTTAGGGTAGCATTATTTTATTATTTTGTAGATAAGTATATATAAAGCAAATGCATGTATTTTCAAAAAACAATCTTCCAATCAACATGAAATAAGAATAAAATTTTATTTTTTCATTTGTTTATTTTTATACAAGTATATTCAATGTAGCTTTATTTTTAAGATATATTCTTATAAAAAAAATGTTTTTAAAAATTATTCGTTGGTATTTCAATTTAAATCATTACAAGTTTTTATTTAACAATCCTTTACATAAAGAAGAATAAATCATGTTCTTTTAAATAGAAAAATTATGAAAAAAAAATTGAATGTAAAATTTTAATTAAAAAATAATTTTATTATATCTGACCTGCAATATAGCGCTTGGCGATTTACTAGTTTAGAAAATTTCTAAAGGAAATTTGATTAGTGATTATAGCTAAAACGATTAGTTCATTTCCAGTTGTGTCACAGTGAGGAGGAGTACTGTTGCTTGCTTGGGGAGGTAGGAGTTGAGCTAGGACCTATAGGCGAGTTTTCCTTCTTCTTCTTTTTTTTTTTTTCCAAAACAAGATTATAATAACTATTCTTTTTGTCTTAAATAAATTGTCGCTTTTTCTATTTGTATTTGTTCTAAAATATTTTTTGATTAAAATTTAAATAATTCATTTTTTCTAAAATAGTTCTTTGCTTAAAATTTTAAATAAAGAAAATCACTTCTTTTCCTATTCTTTGCTAACGAAAAATAAATATTCTTTATACTCTTTCTTTATACATATAAATACCTTTAGAATTTAATATAAAATATCAAAAAAAATTATTACATAAAAATATTTATTCTTGTAAAAACTTTACTACATGTCAAAATTTTGAGTGAAAAATATTTTTATTAATAGATTATTTTTGTATAATTATTTTAAACTTAATTTTTAAGTAATTTAATAATTTTTAATTATTAATTAAGTTAATATTGGTTCTATATAATATAGAAGTAAATTTGATAACTAATAATTTAACAAAAAAATATCTTTAAAAAAATAATAAAAAGCTGGTATAATATAATAATTAATAATTTTTTAAACTATGTGGAAAGTAAAAAAAAATGATTTTGTTTTGGAGACAAAAGGGGTAGATGGAGTAGCTGAAGTGAAATTTAAGAGCTATCCAATGCAAACAGCTGGAATGACCAAAAAAAATATTTTTTAAAAAAAAGAATTAAAAAAGCCGATATAATAGAATAATTAATATTTTTTAAAACCGTGCGAAAAGTAATAAAAAAAAAAGATTTTTTTGGGAGATAGAAGGAGTATATAGAGGGAGTAGCCGGAAGCGAAGTTTAGGAGCTATCCAATGCAAAAATGGTGGAATGTCATGGAAAATGAATTTTCCAAACTAAGCAAAATGATTAAAGTTGTTTACTCCATATCGTATGCTAATTGGTCATTTATTTCTTCGATTGCACGATAACATATACTGGCCCATCAGCTGAAACCAATTAACGTATGTTAAATTCTTTTGCAACTTGAATCATACGCTAACATGCTTTCTTCTCATACCTTTTCCATTGTAAAAATAAGCAAAGTCAATTAGGAATTAATCTCATGGAAAGATACCGAAATTGAAGGCATTTCAGAAAAGTTTGTTGGCGTAATTATTCATACATTACTATTACAATCGGTAGATGTCACCTGCAATTCTCCGGTGTTCATTTTAAATGTTTGTTCTTTTAGCATTTGACAAGGACAACATCCTTTGCCTAATACTCCATAATATACCATGCAATGCACCAATTTGTTTTTCTCAAGTTAAATCATTCACTTTCTTCTACGCTACCAATTCCTATTTATCTCTAACTATGACCAATCTTCTTTACACAACGTTGGAGTTTGACTACAGTCGTAATTTGCCAATCAAGATAATCTGGTTAATCCAATTCCCTCATGCTTCTAAATAATGAAAACCAACGGGGCTTATTCTCAATAATAGTAATAAACTGGACAAATAAAAAACTCCATAACCAATTTGCAAGGACAAATAAAAAAATTATTTAGAAAGTTCTTATTGTACATATCGCAAAGAAAAAATTTATGTGTTAACGAAAAAATGTAAAATTCGAAATGAGAATGCATAAATCGAAACGAAAATTAAGAAATTGAAATGATATTTTTATTCTCATATTGTGTTTAAAATACTAATGAAAAATCGAAATACAATTTAAATTTTTTAATATCTTATTTTTTATACAAATAAAAATAATTATTAGAAAAATAATTTTATCAAACTATAATGATTGTAAAAATAATAAAGATGATGATGGTGATAGTGATGGTAGTGATAAAAGTAGTTAATAAACAATAAATAAAGGAACTATGTTATTATTTTGAAGAAAAAAATTTCATTTTCATTCCTTATTTTTATTATCACATTTCAAATGGGAATGAAGTTGTGTGTAATTTTCATTTCATTTCATTCCTTTCAATCGAATGGCTACGATATGAAAATAAAACTTTTATTATCATCCAGTATATCATGATTACTAAAATAAGAAGTATTAGAGAAAAAAAAAAACAATGTTACAACCTTTGCACAGCCAAGGCGGACCATGTATATTCAGATAAAAACAGCTGGCCCAAACCAAAACCATTACATCACATTTCTCACGCGCCACTACAGCCAAACGCATGAAACACAGTAACGTAATTCAACAAGGGAACTAAAGTCTTGGGCTAGGAGATCGAAATTAATCCCTCTAGTTTTGCAAAATTAATTGAATAGTATCTCTTTGTTTTAAAATTAATTAATTAATCTTTTAATTAATGTTGACTATAATTAATTTAATATTATTTATTTAAAAAATGTATTTTTCATCAATTCTTTCGTATTCTTTATTTACTTTTTCTGTTTTTAAAACAAAATTTTTGAAACTAGAAAAACTAATTTATTTAAAAAAATAAAAAGATTAATTAATAATTTACTCGAAGATCTATGAGAAATTTTATAATACACTAGGAGTCATTAATGACATATACAGTTGTTATTCTATGATCCACTTTGAGGAGAGAGATAGACATATAAAAATAGAAAAATGAGAGAGAAAATAAAAAATTTAAGCGGACGTGAAAATCTTCTTAGCACTTTTAATGGATATAGATATAATTTCTATCTTTTTTTATGTGTCTATCTCTTTCCTCAAAATAGACTCATAAAGTAACTACCGTACATGTCACTAATTATTCATGATGTATTATAAAATTTGTCGAGATCTATTAAGAAAATATAGGAACTTTTTTCAGTATAACTTGAATATCAAGTAACTCAATCAGATAAAAACTTGCACAATTCTGACAGTTTGGTAATGTCCCACTTGAAAAGGCTGGATTGGAACTTGTACCTATAAGATCAATTAATGTTGATGGTTGGCCATAGTCTTTTGGATGTGGCATGAATAAGATCTAATTAAAGGAATGGATGATCCTTTAATGACCGAAAAAATAAAAATAAAAACCTTAAGAATGAATGATTCCCACCACCAAGGAAATTAAAAGAGTGAAGATACCAAACAATGTATGTGGCCTTTCTCATTTTGGAGAATAAAAATATGCTTTTCAGCTCTCACGACTTGATGATATTCTTTAATTAGGCAATGTCTATCTTCTTTTCCTTTTCTCTAAATAAACAAAGATACTCTGTTCAAATCTCAAAAGTAGCAGCAACAGAAAATAGTGATCAATATCAAGCTTCTGTAAGACGGCAAATCAGCTGAAATCGCTTCCTACCGGATAGATACCCCAAAAGTTTTTTGCATCGGCATTGGGCTGCCCAAATCTGAGTATATACCAACAGCCCATTACAAGCAGCCGAGCAAGGAGCATGCGTCCAATAAATATCAATACATGCATTAAAAGGTATCAACTCCAAGTTTCCGACGGGAAGCTCGAAGTTCTCAGGCATAAACTTACACCAATAGAAAGGAGTAATACTGGGTAAGCAGCCCAATTCCTCGCACCAAACAATGCTCCAAAAACCCAGAAGGCCAGCTATTTATGGAGGCTACAGTTCTCAAAGCAGTACGTACTTCCATGTCAATAGCTTTAACAATTTAAAAGTTCATTTCCATGCCAGTACTGCTCTAACAATCCTATTTCCCAGCAAAACTAAGATGTTTCAATAGCTATGGCGGTGAGTTCGAAAAAAGGAACAAGATATAGACAAACTCAGTCCATTTAAATTCACGGAGATCTACCAAACACTTGCATCATCCTCCATGCCCAAAAGAGTAATATAGTCTCCGACGCAGTGCTTAAAAGAAAATTTTTTTTGAAGATTAGATCACCCATGAACACGTGTTGATTAGTCACATAACGGGCACTACCCTAAACTGACAGTCATACTCATGGACACCTAAGAGTATATATACATCTATGTCTAAAGCTTCCAAAGCCTGACTATGCTCTGTCTGTTTTATTAATATGAATATGAGAGCAAGGAATCTAAAAAGAACCCTAAACTAACACGGCTTTCTGCGTTTCCTTTTATCTTTACGAAAGTGAAATGCGACAAGTCATGTGCTGACGGAACCCAAAAAACTAACTCATCCGCATGAACCGATAAATTTTATATTATTTGAGAAGTAACATCATATACAATAATTACTTTATGAATCTATTTTTGAAGAAATAAATAAACACATATAAAAAAAATACATTCAGATTCATAAAACACGATAAGAAAATTTTAACATTAGCTCAATTTTTTTTTAATTTTTTATTTTTTTCTCTCTTTATATAAAACAGATCTATGAAATAACTAATATACATATCACTAACTAATCCTTGAGTATTATAAAATTTCTTCCTCAATCATATAACAACAGCAGAGAGGAAGCATCTTTTACCGATGGCATTTGAGTAACCCACCTGCCATCCATGGCTTTCCCTGAAACACTCAACCTGTCATCACATCAAAGAAAATTAAGACAAATTTGACAATAAGCCCGGAATCCAAATACAGAATGGTATGCTGGGAGCAGTTGGGTACCGTGTCTAGAACTTGATTATCATTATCCAGCCCCCCAATAACATATATTGCATCTCCCATCGCAACAGCACCAAAATATGCCCTGGAACTGTTCATGGATTCCGCTACCATCCACGAACCAGCACGAGGATCAAATACCTCAACTGTTGCGACCATCTTGTCCCCATCATAGCCCCCCAAAGCATATCTGCCAACACAATTTTCCAAGGTTTTTAGTCCTCATATTGTAATCCCTGTATAAAAGCACAAGCATGGGGATATTTTTCTAACATATTTTGCAACAGTTACTAAAATGATCTTCTGTTTTACTTTAATTGCTTTAACGTATAAGCAATTATTTCCTAGAAAAAGAGTAAAAAAAAGGAGTCAATATAAATAAATAGACTCACAATTTCTCATTCAGAACAACCAAAGAATGTGACCCTCTCTTTGTGGTCATACTCTCAAGTCTTGTCCATGTATGCTCTCGTTGATCACATCTTTCAACTGACCTGTGAATTTACAATAACATAATTATGTAAGACCATCAGGAGAAAATCCCAAAAGACAATATTATCTATTGTTCAGAACGAGTAACACTACATGCAATTGGTGCTGAAAGGATAATTAATCTTTACATGGTGACGAGTTTCAAAATATTTTGAACCTATTTAGAGAATAAATAGATTTATGTAACAACAAAACATTCAGCTGATATCCCCGATCAAAAAATCACATAAGATATCCTCGATCAATTGAAAGGACCAACATTACAAGACATCAACTTGTAGCATATTGTGTTTTGTGCAGAATGGCAAAACAAACATGAAACATATTAACTGAAATAGGTTCAAAGAAAGCAATACCTAACGAATGTGAATTAACTGACATTGATTAGAAACAACCACTCATCCAGCCAGTAATTAAAAAGGAGTGAAAGCAATATCTTACTTTAAGTATTCCTTTCCATTGTATCCCCCAGCAACATAGAGCATGCCATTAATTTCTGCTGCAGCAGCTGCAAATCGCTGGCAGAACAAAAACAAGGTAAAGCAAGTCAATAAATAGCCACTAGAAGACAGTTTTCAAGATATATTTATGAAACTCAACATCGTAAAAAGTTGAAAGATTCAATATAGATACCAACTTAATTTTTTGAGAAATTTTAAAAAGGTACCTTGTTAAGCATTGGCTGAACAGGTATCCACCTCCCAGCATTCAGATCAAATATTTCCACCTCAGAAAAGCAATCAACCCCATCACCACCTCCAATTGCAAATATCTTGTCCTCCAAAGAAACACTTGCCAAACTTCCCTTTCTTTGCTTTAAAGAAGGTCGAGAAGTCCATTGCTTGGTTAAAGGGTTGTATGATTCCACTTCGCATGAAGAAAATAGAAATCTTACTGCGTTAAGAAAAGAAAAAAACCTAACAATTTGTTAAAGATGAAAAATCTAACGGAAAAATAAATATACCTGTGTTATACCAGGCACCATCAGTTGCACCACCAACTATGTAGAGTTCACCGTTTAACCTTCCTACTGAGGCATATTGGCGAACAGCCCTCATTGAAGTGAGAGTCTCCATTAGGTCTTGCGAAGGAGAATAGGAGTCCAAACCCAACAGCCAAGAAGAACCATCAAATCCTCCTATTAGTATAAACTCATCACTGCATGGCTTGAATTCTTCTAATTCAGACCCATCTTCTTCAAGATGACCCATTGCTGGTAAGAACACATACTCCAACATCTTGCACCGGTCTTTTAGTTGTTTAATTTCATTTCTTGATTGAACCTGAATTGCCAGTTTACTTTCAAGTTGTAATTTCATAGTCAACGGAGAAAACAATCGTATAAAAGCAAAAGGATATTATAACAGCATTTGACCTTCTCCCCATTATGCATAAAACTAACCCAGCTTCGCCATAAAAGTACATGGAACTTGTTGAATTCTGAGATTTACCAAAATTCATTAAATCGGGAGAAAATTACTTTTTAGCAAGCAACATATCAACACGAGTAAATTGCATGGAAAGTTAATGTTGACAATCGGCAAACACAAAGGACTCCAAAATGAAACCATGCTGAAGAACGGTTTCGGGAGAAATATGGAATTTTCACAGAACAAGAATTTACTTTGACTTTTGGAAGAGGCTGTGAGAAATAGTAGTGAATGATCCACAGTCAATTTATGATGATTAGAATACATACGAACAAGTACAATATATTATCAAGAGTCAAACATGGACCACAACATTACAGTAACAGAGTCAAACATTAACGACAGCTTAAGGAATGCATTCATGCTGATAACACAAATTGCTTGATCTATATTATCAAGACAGAGCAGAATGCGCTGAGTTCTCATGAAGATGACTTTATCAATCTCAATTGCACCAAAACAGGAGCTAAATTAAAGATGAACAAGTTTTAACAGTTTGCATTAGCAGACTCGCATAGCATTAAAAGTAAGTTGTCATATACCAGGAAAATGGTAATATAGGGATTAGTGAAGAATAGATCATACCAGCTCATGCTCCAAATAACTGATTTTTCGAACTTGCATTGATTGAGATGACTTCAAATCTTCCAATTCCATAGATAACTTCAAGAAATATCGCAAGCTATTAGAAGAGCAGAAAAGTCAATATGAAAAACGCTATGCATAACAAAGCACCAGCTTACCTGGGTTACCATACAGCGAAGATCTAAAGACTCCATTTTTGAATCCATTCTTTCCTTTGAATCTACCTCAAGAGTTTCCTCCACTACTACCCTCTGCTATCATCTCTCTTGCATCAGAACTGTTTTCGTTTTCACACCAAGCACTCCATGGTCTTTCCAAAAAGGCCGTACCCATGCCAGTTGCTATGCTCACCTTATTGGCATCCAGAGTCTCAATGTTACTCATGCTTGCATCAGACAACTCAGTATTATCTTCTGCTTTCATCTCTCTTGCATCAGGATCAGTTCCCTTTATGAAAAACGCAGACCATGATTTTTGTTGAATGGCAGAATCAATACATGTTGCACTACCAGTATGATCTGCAGTAGGTATATCAAGATTTGTCAGATTTGCGTTGGATGACTCAGCATTATCCTTTTCAGTCATCTCTTCTGTATCGGGACAAGTTTCAACTTCGAATAAGGCACTCCAAGGTTTCAGGGGAGGGCTAGAGGTCGTGCATCTCTTGGTGCTTGCTTGACAGTCATTAAGTTTCTCCATGTTGTCATTTTCTTGCCTCACATTAGGAGCATAAGGCAGAGACTTCCAATTGTGCATATGCTTGGTACTTGTCGTGACTGGAGAAGATGAGAATGTTGAGATCAACTTGTTTGTTTGATCCTGGTCTAGTTCAAACCAAATATAATTTGGTTCATTTGGTCCATAGTAGTTTTCAGCAATGATTGGTTTAAATTGATCTTCCACTAAGGGCTGGCACTGCATCTGGATTCGCATCCGAACCTAAGGAAAAAAAAAAAAAAAGCATAGATTATGTTACACTTGACGACTTATGTACTGAAAACAGAATAACATCTGATACCTGTGCAGAGTATAGGGTTGTGCCTGAGCCATCTTTAGTCCATGCATTTGGATCAATATTCCATCCTCCGTGACTTGTGGCCTCAAATATGCCATGAAGCTTCCTATCACTGTAGTTGAATAAAAACAATGGCAAACCAGGATCTATGTTCTTTACATATGAGTAATGTGAACCTGGTATTCCTGTTCAAGAATGCAAAATATATTTCCCAAGTATGTGGAGTCAGAGTATATACAGATTATAATCTAAACATGAAAATCAGGTTTTTGGAGTTCAAATTTTGAAACAAGTGAAGGGTACTAACCAAACAACTGTTTAGAGAAACATTCTTTGATTGTATTATGCTTGCATCCAAATATTACTCCAGCTAGATCACTCTTCCTCAGATTCCTAGCTGTTATACTGCCATTAACTAATGTTTGACGTACTGATTTCTCCTTTAAGTGAAATGTCTGTGTCTTCCTTCCAGCACCCATTCTTTTGATCTAAAAAATAAAATAACAGCATTCCATTAGTTGCATTTTGAATCAATATTCAAAGATAAATAAAGAACTGAGTTGCAACAACTAAATGCTTTCCCCTTGACCATTCCCCTACCTCTAAAAGGTCAAAACAGAAACAGATACAAAAACTAATTACAGCATGCCTTAACAGGGAAACTTGAGCCGCACTGACAGAATCTGAAGCGAATAAAACAGGAAAAATGCATTGAACATCAAAGCAGCAACTGAAAAACTTGAGCATTCATCAATCATTAGAATTTAAAAACATATCATAACAAAGAAATTTGAACCACATTGATACAATTCAAGGCAACAAAAGAAAAACACACTTATACATCTAGAATCCCCAGCTAGAAAAAGGAAATAAGAGGAACACAACTCATTACATGCTTCATTTAGCAAGTCAGACCTTAACCAAACCCATATGATTACAGAAATTTATGTTCTCATCCAGGTTTTCACTTACTTCCTTGCAATGCTCTAGCTAACAGGAATCACAGATCACAAAATAAATCAGTACTGCTAACTAGTATCACTAGACTTAGCCCTTCTGTTTCATCAATAACATCAGAAACACACATCAAGAATATTCCATAATGTGCTCAAACTCCAAAAGGTGACAGGGATCCTCTTCGTGAAATAAGAAACATTACCATACAGCAATCTTTTAGCTAGAACAGAGCAGAAGGAAAAAAAACATCTTCAAGTTTCAAAATGACTTTCATGCAACAAAAATGAACCACCAAAAAAAAATCATTATCTGTAAAACAATCTACTTATGTCAGATTAATTTGTCCAAAATGCTTTAACCAAGAGATTTCAAATTAGTCAGTGAGTTGAAATAATTATAGAGATTAAAATAGAAGCATAAACCTCAAATGACGGCAAAACCAGCAATGGTTATAAATTTAAATGACATAGACGAAAGAATTTGGGAAAAGCATAATGTAGAAGCCTGAAAGACATAAGAAAGAGAGTTGAATAAAGCGACCTTGAAACTGAAATCAACTATGTGGCACAAAGCGGCGAGTGATGAAGAAAAATAGGGGTAGATATTAGTAACAACATCGGAAAGGGAAAAAGTTCAATAGGGGAAAGAAAATGCAAGAAATGTTAGGGTTTTTTTAAACAAAAATAGAGATGAAGAGTGGACAGAAGGAAAGAAGAGATTGGCAAAGATTTCAGAGGTCTTAACTAAAAGCGGAGCAGTCTGAGAGTGGAAAATGTTACACTCTGATGCTCCTGTTTGCCGTATTCAGAGTGTACGGTCTGATATGGATGGGAAATTATCTATTTACCCCTATTGAACTTTTTCCCTCTTCGATGTTGCTAGCGTAGAATGGCAGGGTTAGTTTTGTGATTAAGAAAATTGGTGGCCGTTCAGGCTAGGAAAGTAGACTCTACACGTACGCATGCATGAAAAGTTAATGACCATCCATCCATTTGAATTTTCTGTATATAATTTACCATTCACATGACCTGAGACCCTTTCTTTTCTCTGTCTTTAATTATAAATAAATGAATCCCATGTGGAAGTGTTAATTCAAGTAATAAATGGGTTAATTTTGGGTTTTGAATTTAATAGGAGGATAACTTCTTTCGTTAATATATTAATTTAAGTGTAGATAGTTTGTTTAAAATTGACTAATGAATAACTTAAGAGTTGCTACTGAACTCTAATTTATTTAAAAATCAGTTTTTAAATTTTTAATTTATATTTTGAATTTTTTTATTTTGTTATTTACCTTAAAGAATAACAATTACATAAACTCTATAATAAAAACCATTCAATAAAATTTATCTAAAGTGCCTAAAAAATATTTGAGATTGTTCCGGATTGTTTTCAATTTTTTTTAATATCTTTATTTTTATGTTAAATAAATAAATAACTATAATTCCCAATTTTGAATAATTCTGAAATTTTTTTAAAAAATGATTTTGAATTTTTCTCAACGAGTAAAATTTCATATTATAATACTAAAATTATTTAAAAAAAAAATGGACGATCACTGAAAATTATAAGATAGGCTAAATTAAAAAAAAAAAGATCAAATTCAAAATTCAAAATTGGTTTTTAAATGAATTAAAGTTCAAAGAATATTTAAGTCTTTTAGCAGTAACTTAATTTTGATGCATAAAATTTAATATAAAGAGTTAAAATTAGAACAACATTGACGGACGGGAATTTTTTTTAGTGTTATAATAACAACCTAAGATATAGCAACTATGCACGATATGATTATATTTTTATCAAGTGAAAATATTGATATCTTTCACGTGACACATGTACTGCATCAATTTATATATCTTTTGTGTAAGTTGAATTAAATTTTATTTTATTTTACAATCACAGTATCCTATAACCATTTTTTTTTTTTGTATTAATATTAAGTTCGTGTCTTTGGTTTAGTAGATGATAGATAGCACGAATTAGGAAATTCATAAGAATTTTGTTACTTCGAGATTTGAAACCTGACAGCTAAAGAGCAAAGACATCTCCTTGACCATCGCATCAATATTATATTTAGTTAGTGAAATTGCAACTACTACCGTGTCATCCGTCGTGTCCATTGATTTTTGTCTGTGAAAAACTCTGTTCGATGGTATAATTCTTCTTGCTAGGGTAGGAGAGGTGACAACATCTAGACTTTTTTGTTTGGGCTTATTTATTGAGGTAGGTTCCAATTTATTTGGGCTGAAAACGAGTTAATTATTTTTTTAAGTTTCAATTTTTTCAATTTTAATGTGTCATTTTTAATATTTATTATTTGAATGTAAATAAGTTGCATTTTTTTTCTTTTAATGATTTTGATAATTTTCATTGATGTGGTTGCTTGCTATATACAAGCAACTATCATGTAAACTTCGTTATTAGGCATGTGATAACTAAAAAAAAACTATTATTTAGTGTATAAACTTATCAGTTTATTTTTTATTTACGTATGCAAATTTTAATATTTGTTATTTGAGTTTATTAATTTGTATTTTTTTTAATTTGAATGATCATATTAACTCTAGATTAATGTGTTTGTTAAGTAGATATGTAGCACTGTCATATAGAAGCTCATTGTCAAATACGTGGCAACTAAAAATTTCATCCCACCATGCCCAAATCAATTTTTTTAAAAAAATTTAACATATGTTTGTTTCAAAAAAATATTACTACAAAACAAATATATAAAATTAAATACAAAGTTCTCTAATCAATTCATCTTATCCAGTCTAGATTTACCCCATCCTTCACTTCAAATTAAAAACTCAATTTCACCCCATCGTTTTCCAAACAATTAATATTCTCAGCTTTTCTTCTAAAAATGAGAATGAATCATGGTTTTGGTGAATGAACACATCCAATATATTTTTTAAAATTTTTAATTATTTCCTTATATCTAGTTATATTTTAAGTAATTTGCTTACATTTCTTAAAAAATTATTTATATGTAAAGTTATAAATGTCAAATTATTGCTATGTAATTTTTTTTTTTTTGTTATCATATAAGAATGAAAATGAATCGTTATTTTTTATTTTTTTCAAGATGTCATGAGTCTTGACAGTGGACCATATAATGACGTCACTCATGCAGTTATTAGATACCACAAAAAAAAAACTTGATGAGTTTGTACACGAAATATGTATTAATTATTTTTTGCTTGTTGCTGTATATTTGACAGTGAAATTCACATAACAATGCTACAAGTTTAGTTAGTTACTAGCACACATTTCGCGCGTTGTCACGCGGTGAACTATATAATATTCTTATGTATTTATTCATATAAAATTTAAAAATAATTATTTAAAAGTATCACACAAAATTTTTTAAAAATAAAATTAAAACATGTATTTCATATTTTGCAGCGAGGTTAGCTAAACGAAAAATCTACAAAATTAGATGATATAATGTTGCTAATTAGATACTTGTTTGATATAATTAAAACATGTACAATAACTGATAATTAAAATAATAATGTGGTATTTTTTTTAATTTTAAATGATTAATTTTTACCATATACTATCATTTATAATTTGTTCATAACAAAGAAAAACCATCCAAAACAAAAGACAAAAAAACCTTTGTCAAATTGAGAATTTGGCAAAGAAAATAAAGATAAAATTATACACGATAAAAAATAAAAATCATAAAAAAGATCAAAATAAATAAATAAAAACTTTCACCGAAAAGGAAAAAACTTATAAACAATAAGACAAAAAAAAAAATCATTATGCACAAGGCGAGAACTAAAGTAAAACATTATAGAATTTTAATGACCAAAATAAATAAAAATTAATAAAATAAGAATCAAAACAGAAAATATTTTTTACTAAAAAAAAGATTAAAATAGTGAAATTGTATTTAATTTTAGTGTAGAATGAATAATTATCAAATATAATAAAAATTTAATGATCAAAATGAATGAAAGATTACAAAACAAAAACCAAAATATAACTAAAAGTTTTACTAAAAGTAAAAAAAATAGTTTCTTGTAGGGAAATAAATCAAATATAATAAAAATTTAATGATCAAAATAAAAAAAATTACAAAACAGTGACTAAAAAAAAAAAATTCTACTAAATTTAATGATGAAAACAAAGAAAAAATTACAAAACATAAATTATAATAGAAAGAAAAGTTTTACTAAAAGCCAAAAAAAGAAGCTTAGGATAGTAAACTTTATTTAATTTTAGTATATTAAGGATAAAAATCAAATATGATAAAACTTAATGATAAAATAAAAACATATCACAAAATATGAATAAAAAAAGAACATAAATTTAAATAAAAGTCAAGAAAAAAATTATTATGGGGATAAAAATTAGATATAATAAAATTTTAATATTTATTATAGAGAAAAAATTTAAATATAATAAAATTTTAATGACAAAAATAAAAAAAATTAGAAAAAAAAGACCAAAATAAAAAGCAATTTTCTTAAGAAAGCCAGCAACCGAAACTAAAAAAAAAATTGTAAAAGCTTAGAAGCCAGCAACCAAAAAAAATAAAAACAGTAAACAATGAATGCTACAGTAATTTTTTATTTTCTTTTAGTTTTATTGTAATATCAGTAAAAAAAAATTAACAAAATCATTCAAATTGAAAAAAAATATAACTCGATATATTGAAATAGCAACCATAAAAGTTGACAATATTCAAATAGAAAAAAAATTTAACACCAAAAATATATTAATTCGGCGGCTGAAAACCCATCCATCTGTATTTCATAATGCCGTTTGTCGTGACTACACCAAGTTGATCAAAGGGCCGTTTAATAAAAATTCAAAACTATCATTTTTTTCTCTTTGACCTTTATGAACGAAACATGGTACATAACCATTTACCAATCTTCTCTTGCCCTTTATAAACATATAAACTTGTGTGCATGCTCGAATGCCATTGATGGGCTTGATGTCTCTACCTTGTCGAATTGTTAAGCCAAGACTAATATAGAATTCCTTGCCTTCGTAATTGCTATCTTTTGTCACTCTAATTTCTATTAGCTGAAGAAATCCCAACTGCCACACAATTGTCAAATCATTATTTTTTTTCCTTGTTTGACAGATAGGAAACAAATAAACAAAATTGTTAGACAGTTAGGCTTCGAACCTTCGATCGCATATCATTTCTTGTATGTTTCACATGTCATGCCACAAACAAAGTGCACGTTTAGCATCAGGTAGTGACTCATCACATGACAATTTTTAAAGAAAAAGAAAAGAGGAGAGAATAGGAAAAAAAACCTCGAATCATCCCAACGATTCTTCTAGACAAGATAGAAATAGTACCATTAATGTTTCTGGTGGCATTCCGGCAATTACAGTGCTGGGAATGGAGTTTCATGGACCAGCATTTCTTTTCCATGTCCTTCCAAATAATAGTAGCGTGCATGGTTACTTTTGTTTCGTGGTTCCTATTTTAAAAAGGCTCTCTCCAATTGGACGGTCTTTTTCCCCGAGAAAGGGAGGGTAGGGTTGATAAGCACTTGGTTTGTCACAAGATGACGGGGGTGAAGGCAGAGATGAGATTTGATGTCTTAGCCTAATATAACAATTAAGCGCAAAGCCCAACTTTTTCCCAAAAATGGCCTTTACCCTGGGCCATTAGATTCGGACTTGTTAAATGGACTCCGGTCCGTTAGATTTGTTTTTTCTTTTTTTGAAAAACAGGGCGGTACCCTGTAAATATATTAATATCAAAGTCGAAAAAAATACAAGAAGGAAATAATTTCAATCTAGTCCAATAAATTGAGAGGAGAAGAAAACATAAACCCTGAATACAAAACAATATTTACATAATAAAACTTAAAAGCTAAACATGAAGTGCCTAATCAAAGAAATGAACACTAAATTCTCTAATTACTAGTTATAACAGAAATTAGGTAAACTAATTGATACCTAACCGATAATTAGATAGACCCATCGCTTTTAACTTCCACATGTCTCCAAAATTAGCTTTGTTTTCTTTCTTTTTCAGAAGCCGAAGATTTCGTATTCACATAAATTATAATTTTCAGGATTCGTTTCTAACACAAAAATAAAAATACCAATTTTTGACGAAAGAGTACAACTTGACCTCAAACATCATTTTACTTATTCTACTCATTTCTTTTATTTTAAATCAACAATACCATCTACTCATCCATTATTAATTGTTCGAATGAAGAAAAAATAAAACAAGTAAATGAAGAAGTACTCTCCCTTGCTAGTTGCTTTATCCCGACCTGAAGATAATGCGGTTGATGTTGTTGCCGGAAGCAAGTTAATTCGGGTGAGATGGTTTGGATTTTTTTTTCCAGTGATCGAGATTAGACTATTTTTGAATAAAGTTTATTTTATTTTTAGTCATTTCATGTAGACTAAACTAGTTAAACCTTCTCTGAACTTAAAACCATTTGAAAATCAATCTATGTACTCTTCATTTTAATTTCAAATTTTCATTATTTTGATATACTTGAAAATTAAGTCCTTTTGTTATTTTTTTTTCTGAATTCTTTCAAAATTTTACATATAAACCTCATCAAATTACTTAAATATCTCACACTTCTAACTAACCAATCAATTCACATTTTGAAAATAAAATTTTGCAAAAAAAAAAAAAAAAAAAAACAGTTATATATACATATGTGTGTATGTGTGCGCGCGCGTGTGTGAGAGATTTTAAAGCTACTAGTGTTTTTTTTTTAGATAGAGAAAAGATTAGGCTACTAGTTTTTTTTTTAAAAAAATTAAATCAAAATTTCTAGATTAAGAATTAAAATTATGATATTAAATTTTAAATTTATGTACTTTATCTTCAAAATTTAAAATTATATCTGTAAAAAAATTGACTATAATCAATTAGGTTGAAGATTATTGAAAATTGAAATGGAAAGTATTTAAATCATTTTATTAGTTTTATATGCAAAAGATGGAAGAAATTTTTGAAGAAATAACGAAAGGATTTGATATCAAATAAATCAAAATACAAGAGGTAAATGTTAAATTGAAAATATAAAAATTAATTCTCAAATAACTTTTTAAGTTTAAGGAAGGTCTGATTAATTCAACTTTTTATTTATTTTTTCTTCTTAGTTTATACAGTGAAGTAGATTTTTCCCTGGTTCAATGACAACTCGCTAGAAGTTTTGAAAATATCCTCGTGTTTCCAAACCCTAACCACATTACACTTCTGGCACTCATGAAGACACCACCAACCTTTTTATAGCCACGTATTCTAAATTTCTAATTTTCCCCGCCTCAGAAAAAATACTCTAAACAATTTTGTTATTTGAAATAAAATCAATAATTACACGCCATATCCAAGTCACAAATTTTTGTTTTTCCCTCCATCTGGTACTCTATGCAAATCCAATTTTTTTTTTTTTCCTCTAATGGCTAAAGTCTCTCTTTCTTTCTCACACACTCTGACCGTGTGTCACTACGCCACAGTTAGTTACTAACATTTTTTTTTCAAATGAGGTCCCACAATCAACGACTCTTCACCTCTACACTACCACCGTACACTTGTCCATCCACTCCACATCCACCACCTCTCCGCCGCCTCTTTGCCTCCAAAACAATCCCCCTCTCACTCTGCTGCCACCTCAGCATCCCAGATTCTCCATGCTCCCGTCAAGCTCAAACCACAAGACGCCGCCAGGTGTTGCTCACCCCTCTCCTGGCTCTTGGCGTTTCAATCATCCAATCCGCAGCCTCCAAAGCCGAGGTAGCCAACAGAGAATCGGACCCTCCGCCGCCTCCGCCTCTTCCGGTGGAGGCGGCGAAGAATGCGGAGGAGGTGATAAGCTCAAGGATTTATGATGCTACGGTGATTGGAGAGCCGATGGCTCTGGGGAAGGATAAAAGAAAAGCGTGGGAGAAGATAATGAATGCTAGGATTGTGTATTTAGGAGAAGCAGAGCAAGTGCCTATAAAAGATGATAAAGAATTGGAGCTTGAGATTGTTAAGAATTTGCAAAAACGCTGCGTAGAGAGGGAGAAATCAATTTCTCTTGCCATGGAAGCTTTCCCTTGTGACTTGCAGCCCCTTTTAAATCGATATTTGGATAAAAGGTAGAGAGTGTGTGTGTGTGTGTGTGTATTTTACCTATATATTAGTACGAGAAATTCATAATAGATTTCTTTATGTTGATGTTGGTGTAATTTGGTGGCAGGATAGATGGGGAGACATTTAAGGGTTACATGATACATTGGCCGCCGCAACGATGGCAGGAGTATGAACCTTTATTGATTTATTGTCGTGATAATGGAATTAGGATTGTTGCTTGTGGTGTTCCAATTAAGGTAAAATGAAATGGCTTCTCTTGTATATCCATCAATGTTTTGAATAATACTATCCGCGTGTTTCAACCTTTCTGCTAATGGTAGTAATCTATACTTATCGAGGGTGTTGGGCTGTTTTTTCTGGATTTATGGTTAATTTATATTAAAGGAAATATAATGGTTGTTTGTTTTGTTGGTTCATTTGTTAGCTATAGTGTAACGCTGGAAGAATTTTATGATTTTTAGGTAAAATTGCTATATTTTATATACATCAAATACGTTGAACAATAGCTGCAATGTCTAAGGCTTCGCAAATCCGGGGATTCATAGGGGAATACTGCCTTATTGAGTGTATTATCAGGTTTCTTTTGCTGGATTTTTTTTTTTTTTTTTTTGGGGGGGGAGGGGGTGTTTTATATTTAAAAATAAACTGTTTGGTTATTATTCTTCTTTCATATTGCAGTGTTTTTTTCACTTGGTTTAGTTTGTTAGTTTATACATCTGTCAAGAGTGTAAAATGATCTATTGTTAAGGATTTATTGATCCTTGCGGTATGAATAGGTTTTATGGACTGTGCAAGCTGAGGGTATTCATGGACTTTCCAAGGCTGATCGTAAACTATATGCTCCTCCAGCTGGCTCGGGCTTCATCTCAGGGTTCACATCTATCTCACGTAGATCAAATGATACTAAAGCTCTGAATCAATCTGTTCCTTTTGGACCAAGCTCATATTTATCTGCACAAGCGAGAGTAGTTGAGGATTACTCTATGTCTCAAAATATTTTACAAGCAGTTGTAGATGTAGGAGCCAGCGGTCTGCTAGTAGTGGTGACAGGTGCAAGCCATGTGATGTATGGATCAAGAGGGACTGGGTTGCCAGCAAGAATTTCAAAGAAGATACAGAAGAAGAACCAAGTTGTTATTTTACTTGATCCTGAAAGACAGTTCATAAGAAGAGAGGGAGAAGTTCCAGTCGGCGATTTCTTGTGGTATTCTGCTGCCAGACCCTGCAATCGAAATTGTTTTGATCGTGCTGAAATTGCTCGAGTGATGAATGCAGCTGGTAGGAGGCGGGATGCTCTGCCTCAGGTAGGCTGTAGTGTGCAATATTAGAAGTAAAATTTTCTAGTTTTGCTTTTGAAATAACAACTATTGAACAGAAGAAAGGTGCAAAAATGTGGTTACTTTGATGAGTTTGCTAGCGAACATTATTTTTTAATCATAATTTTTCTTACAAAATTGCTGTCTCCTTAAGAACGCTCCTTCCTTTATTTTCATGACATAATTTTCTGCTATGCTTATCAGGACCTTCAAAAAGGACTTGATCTTGGTTTGGTATCGCCAGACGTACTGCAGAATTTCTTTGATCTGGAGCAGTATCCTATTATTAAGGAACTCACTCATCGTTTCCAGGTATTCTTGCTTGCTGGCAGCAAAAACTTTGTTGGGTATAATGAGAATGTTGTCATTCTTACTATAAAGCTTCTCAATGTTGGCTTTTGCATAATTTGGGATGTTGCCAATAGACCAATTGATGTCAGGGAAGGTAATGTTTTTGGTATTCAACTTGACCATAGCTCTTTAAAGTGCAGGGTTTCAGGGAAAGGCTGTTGGCAGATCCCAAATTCTTGCATAGATTAGCTATAGAAGAGGCAATATCAATCACCACTACTCTCTTAGCACAGTATGAGAAGAGAAAAGGAAATTTCTTTGAAGAGCTTGACTATGTGATTACAGACACTGTCAGGGGAATAGTGGTTGATTTTTTTACCGTGTGGCTTCCTGCCCCAACTTTGTCATTCCTTTCTTATGCTGATGACACAGCTGTCCCTGACAGCATGGATGCTTTAAAAGGTCTCCTTGGCTCCATCCCGGATAATGCATTTCAAAAGAATCTTGCAGGGAAGGACTGGAATATCAGTCACAGAGTTGCGTCTGTCATTGTTGGTGGTGTGAAACTTTCTAGTGTTGGATTTATTTCCAGCATTGGGGCAGTTGCTGTCTCAAATCTTTTGTTTGCGATTCGCAAACTCATTAATCCGGCATTGGTTACTAATCAACGAACCAAAAGATCACCAATACTCAAAACAGCAGCTATTTATGGATGCTTTCTTGGAACATCAGCCAATTTGCGGTACCAGGTAGTGTCACTTATTGCTGCATAATCATAGACCTGTTAATTACATTATTTGCATTGCACACTATCTGACAAATTGCTTGGGGATACGTCATTTATTGTTAGCCCCACTATAAGGTCCAGATAGATAGTATGATAATGACAGCTCCTTTAAATAGTTGGCTTCCTTTCTGTTGGGAGGAGCATGTGAATATGGCTCTTTACGAGGAATAGGATCCAGGAAAAATTGGATTATGTAATTCTGTTCTAGCTATAATCAGTCAATGGAAGATTGTTGAAACACTTAAACTTTTTGCCTGGCTTGGAAACCTTGTTGCCAGGATTAGCAGAACGATAAAGCAATTTTTTTTTTTAAACCTGGGAAATAACGGTTTCATCCCTATCCTTTTAATCTCGCTGCAAGTTAAGAGCTAAGCGCAGAGTATGCTGAATTTCAACTGTTTTTTTGAACCACATATTAATAGTTCAAGCGAGTTGGCATCCAATTTTTCTCAATTTCCATCATCTCCATTCACAGAGAAATAATGTTCATGACCTTCAAGAGTCTGAACCTGCATCAGCTTCTAGGTTACCATACATACCTTTTTCTTTAAAGCCAAATGCATACCTTGTTCTTTTAAAACCAGTATTTGCACAATTGCTTAAACTAATGCTGAAGATCCTTTAATGCATGCTACAGCCTGTAAATTTGATTTGATGTTGCCCCTTTCTTCTGAAATTTACAGAGTTCTTGAAAAGTATGCTGTGTTATATCATTGTTCAACAACTCAATATGGTAAAATGGGCTAAAAAAGTGGGGCAACGCTCTGGCAAACAACGAGCTTCCAATTTCCATAATTGGAACCTTGCTTTGTCACTTTTATATGGGACGCTATATAGGTTTACTGTTACATGCTTGTTGCTGTTTTTCTTTAGAACATTGGAAAAACCATGCAATTGTGCCCCTTAGATCCTTTTAGGTCGTAGCTTCACCATTGTGTATTGCTTCAGAGACCTTTAGTGGCATTTCCTTTGCTGATATTCGGCAGGCTTCGGAAAGCTATTGCTTGAGCCTTTTCTTTTTCTTGGTTATTGCAACAAGCATTCTTATTATCATTGTGGTTATCATACATACATAAAAGAAAGATGCTTTCAGGGGTTTGCTTATATTAACAAATAACTATTATCATGCAGATAATTGCTGGAATTGTCGAGCATCGGATTTCTGATGAATTTTATTCTCAAACACTTCTTGTAAATATGCTATCATTTATTGTTCGGACAATTAATTCCTATTGGGGAACCCAGGTTATAATCCTCTCAATTTACTTCAAGTTCTACTTAGTTGCTGTAAAAGCAATATTCATTTCTTTTTGAAAGGTCATTTAGGCCATACATCTCGTTGAAATCATGTAGTCAAAGATAATAAGCATTTGTATGTACTTATCTGAAGAGAAAGGCTTCTGCAAAAATGGTAAACCTTGTTTAAACTAGGGGGTTTATTTCTTTGGTATTAAAGTGTGGAGGTGTTGCATTTGGGGTGATCTCCTTTCTTGAATATCTGCTTCATGGACCCCACCATCAAAACCAACAATGTCATTGCATTTCAATGATTCCTCTTCTTTTGCATGGATTTAATTGTCTTTGTCTTAATTGCTGCAGCAATGGATCGACCTTGCACGCTTTTCAGGACTGCAAAGTCTAAAGAGTGAACCACTCTCTTATCAGACACTGGATTCTCCTAGTAATGCTGCAATTGGATGCAATACCTTGGAAGATACTGATATTGATGAAATCAAAAATCAATGAGGTGATTATTCTGCTTGCACATTTTTATACTGCTTTGTAAAGCTTTCTTCCTAAGCTGCTGAGAGAACTGAAAGGAATGAATTTCATTTATATATCTCTTCCGCGACCCTTATGTAATTTGTTCTGTATAATTCCTTGCAATTTTGTCGAACATGGGGTAGGCAAACTAGAATTAGCTCTGCAAATTGTATAGAGACTGACATTGAAATTGAATTTATGCAATAAATTCAGAAATATAGCTTGAAATTATTTTTCCCGAGAAATGAATGGCATAATCCTTTGGCAGTTTGTTTTATTTTACTGTCTATTTTAGCAAATAGTTAATTTAAAAATTCAGGGATTTTCTTGTAAGTGAAATTAAAATGTCGTTTTCATGCTTTATAGATTGGATTATCATTCCAAGGTTACGGATTCTAATTTGGGTTTAATTCGGTGAACTATGGGTGAATGTGGAAGGTGAGGCCTTACTCTAAGGTTATGGTTTCTAATTTGGGGTTTTAATCGATGAACCATGGGTGAATTTCGAAGCTGCAACAAAATCTTAATATTTGTAGTTTCTCGAGAGACGGGGGTATTTTCATAACTTAGTTAAAATTACGATCTTCAACAAAATACTGAAGCTTTTCATTATATGTAAACATGAAAGCTTAAGTTATGTCTAAGTTGGAATAAGCTGCTCACCTATGTGTTGGAGTTATTTTCTTCGATTTCATAATGAAAAGTTTCGATACGCATGTAAAGGACGGGTATCTAGTGCAATTTCTTTGTTATCTCATCACTTTACTCTGTTTCTGTCTTATTTCTTCTTCTATGGTAGCCTCCAAGTGCCTTTCTGTCCTTGCTTTAATCAGGCCTTGAGTGTAAACCACTAGAGATTCTAATTCCTGCATAGTTTTCCAGCTCTTCTCCAGTAATTAAATCATTAGAAAATGTCCTAAATTTCTGACTTAAGCGGCCACCTCGGTTAACCCCATAACTCAATCGTAGAATTCTAGCAGAAGCTATTTGTTTGGCCTCAAATCTCACCCCAGTAATGTACGCAAACAAAACCCCAAAACTTTATTATTAGATTTCAGACTATGCAATTCCCAGTCTACCCAGCCCAGCCCCATAACACACCACCACTTTTAGAGAGCATATAAATCCAAAGCTTCGTATGAGACCTTGTAACTCATGTTAAGATATGAGCTGTATTTGTTCTTTCAAAGTTGCAGTGGTGATGCCTTATGAGATACAGACATATATAATGTTGTTAGCAAAGCATCGAGGATACATCTGCTTATCCAATAGGACTGGAATCTGATATAGTGTCTACTAGTACAGTAGAAGCCACAGAACATGTTGCTTCTTTAAATTATTGGCATTTTTATTGACAAGAGACCTTTGCATCAGAGGTTGGACTCATTCAGATTTTGCTCTTCGTTCATCTTGTCCTGTAGCATTTGCTTAACCTTTTCCAAGGAAAGTTCTAGGTTCTTTAGCTGCATCAGAATTTTTCAGGGAACATCAGATGTTCTGTCACACATTCTTGAAAAAAAATGCAAAAACAAGAACAAAAACCCTTTAAATTTTAGGCGACCATGACAGAGTATAGCCAATATTTACCTCTCGTTTGGCGAATCTATTATAGACGAATAAGCTGCTAAAGAGGTCAAAACTGTCCTTCATGGTACTCTCTTTCTGGGAAAAAAGAAGAGAAAAGGCTTTGTTAGTTTCTTTTTTCACTTTGTATTATTTAGGCTCTGTTTAATTGATAAGGATATAAAGGAAAACAAAGTTCGTGAAAATTTAAGCAATTGAGCGTACCAAATGAATCAGTGTTTCAAAACCTTTTGTGTCCATAGACGTGGGCTTGACCTCCATTTCTGATAAAATCCTGCCACATAGGAAGAAGAAGTTCAAGTTTAATTGTGGTTTTTTTTCTTTTTTTTTTTTTTTTTTCAGATGGTTATATGAATGGTTGAAGGCATTAGTTTTACCTGCCAATTGTGTGAGTAAGAAATTGACTCCTTGCAGCTACCCTATCATGTTCTTCACAAGACATTTCCAACATTCTACAACCCTGGTCAATCACAAAAACATTTCATAGCCAGTGCAGTATGGATTGGGGTAAATATAAGGATACATTATTTAGAAGTAAAATCTTGTTGAAAATGATTGGTGGGTCGAAAGCTTGTTCGACTTGTTATTTATTTATTTATTTTATTTACTTTTCCCGTTTTTATCTATGGCTACTTTCCTTCAGAGGAAAAGCAATCAGTAGTTCTCACCCACACCACGCGCCCAACCCCAACCCCCCACCCCCGCGGGTATTTCATTAACTAAATAAGGATTAACTTCTCACTAGTCGAGTTTTAGTTGTTTTAACAAGCATATATGTATATACATAGCGACTAGAGAAGATACTGTTGGAGCCTGGGTGCTTTATGAGTTATTCCTCTCCGATTTTTTTTTTAGATTAAGTGCTTACTGATATACTTGATACCACTCATGACGATTGACTTGTGAAAGTTTTTTTTTTTGGCGTCTTCATTCTGTAAGAGATTAGAGACAGGTATGACAAATGTCTATCCTACTTAAATAAATAACTGATTAGGATGCTGCTTAGCGATTAGTAACAACTAATCCAGCTTAGGCCCACAGGTAGGGCTATCATGGTGATGCTATCTGGTTACCTCACTTTCACAAATCCGTAGAAAACTTGAACTCGTAGCTTCGTCCTTTATTCGAACTCTTTCATAGACAAAAGCAAGATCTTTCCATCCATTTTTTCCACTCTCCGGCCCGAACATCGGATGAGTGCACAACACATCTGATTCCTCTGGCAGTACCTGAGCAATTGACATGCGTGCTTGAGTACTGGCCGAAGCTTGTTAGGCATAATAAGATGCAAAAGGAACACATCAAAGTAGTGCAACTTTTTATTTGGTATAATGGAAATGACAGTATACTTTCAATAGAATATCTTTAGGGTACATTTTGACCGAGAGAACATCCACAAAGAGAGTTGGCCGTTTCAGACAATGTAGTGGCATTGAATTGAGAACCTCTGATAGGGATAGGATTGATGTGCAGATCAAAACGACATCATTATCTGCTTCAAGAAATGCGCCTATGTCCCTAGCAAAGCGTAAGCGGAATTATGAAGACTACATGCTCAGTAACAACTCTTGAGATACAAGCAAGTGTACTAATTTGGATGTGTGCTAACCTGAAGAATGAGATGCCCAGATCTTGGCAGAGCAAAGAGTGATCGGAACGAGAAGTTGCTCGTAAAGCATGCCCTTGTTTGATCATGGTCTTTGCCAGGAACTGTGCAAAGGAGCCAAAGCCCACTATACCTATTTTCAGAGTTCTTGAAGATGACGATGAAGAAGAAATAGACATGGCTTTAATTGAGGAGGGGGTAGACATGGGCTTTGGGGTTTGGCGCGGCTTTATAACAAGAGGCGTTATTGATTAGGTTAACAATGTTTTTAGACAAAGTAGGGTAACTTTTTCTTTTCGGCGAATGGAGGTTTCCTTTTTTGGTCATTAAAGAGCCCCGTCCGTTTCTCTGTCTGTAATCTATGCCATCAAAGTTGGCTACTATCATGCATGCATCCTCCGCTTTGACCATTAGGAAGCATTGGATCCGGATCGTACTGATTCTGGAGTTTCTTGAATTAAAAACCCAGTTAGAGTTCGGCCTTCCCCGTTCTCAGCGGCTCAGATTGATGAGTCACAGGCCCAAGTTGGTTATATAGCCTTTGCTTGCCTAAAATGGTCACTCCAAACTCTTGAAGCCCAAATAACAATATACATTTATCATGCTCAAAATTAAAAATACAATGACCTTAAATCTTAAATCCATAACTTCCAGAGATTAGCTTGATAGTTAAAGAAGTTTGCTTCTTCATTTGATTTTAAGGTTCCAAATCTTAGTGTTGGCATTCAAAAAAGTTTAATAATTCTTTTTGAAAGCACTAATTCGATATGAAAAAAGTAAAAATATATATTGATAAGGAAGAGAAAAAATCTTCGCATAAATATTTAGCACTCGCATCTACTTCTATAAATAAAAAGTCTTCTTCCGTGTCTACTTCTATCAACGTGAATGCAGGCAGATCTCCAATGTCATCCTTAATATATATACAAATTTATGATAAAACATAATAAAATCCTAATGTTGTCTAAGCTTTTTATTGTGTGAATCGAATTGATTCTAATAGTTGAAATTAAAAACTAAAATTCAAGTCAAGACTACACCCACTCAGATCGAATAGCACCATTGCTGAAGATGATTTGCCATAACAAAAGTGATCATCAAGCGTGCGCAATGTAAGAAAAGGGTGAGCCAGATGGTTATATGGTCTTTAAGGATAGGGATTGGGTTTCTTTACCAAGCCTATAGGACTATATATGCTTGTGATTGTGCTTTGTTTTTCAGTTAATTATATTTTTGGTGTATCAAATTTTTATATTTTTTTTCATCAAGTGTGTATATTTTAATTTTGATTATTTGAATAGACTAAAAAATATATATATTTTTTCTAATCAAATGTATCCTTTAACTTTATGTCATATGCACGTGGCTTATAGTAAGATCCTCGTTACCTGTGTCAATGGTATAATAAACACATGCTAAAGATGTGTTTGCCAAGTGTAAATGAGGTAGCAAATGAAAAAAAAGAATAAATTACGGTTATAAATAATTTTTTATGTTCAAATTATCTTTCGTTCTCTTCTACAATATCCTTAGATGCTCCTCCGCCCTCCTCCTCCTCCTCCTCCTCCTCCTCTTCCGTTTCCTTTTCATTTCTCCACATTTCTCTCTCTCCCTAAAGGGGAGTCATGACTTTCAAGTGACTGACCGACCAAATTATTTCTTTGTTACTACTATATTTTTTCATGCTTTTTTTTCCCTCTCTTTCTCTCGTTTGATGACGAATTGTCGTTGTTTCTTTTGAAAAAATCCAACAGAAACTAGAGGTGCTGTTGTTTGATTCATTTATTACTTCATTTTCGTTCAAAATTCTTTTTGTTTGGTTACTGATAGAGAAAGTCGGTCCAATTTAGAATTTTGAATCATCATATAATAAAAAACGATGTTTTGAGTTAAAAATGAAGTTAATTGATCTATTTTTAGAATTGAATTCAAGTTTAATAAAACAACTAAAAACTCAAGTCAAGTTGTCACCGTTTCATATATATATATATGATGGAGTATTTTCGGATCTATTTTATCATTAATTAAGACTAAATTTTTAACTTTTTAATCGATTATTAGACATTTTTTAAACAAAATCAGCTCAAATATTCTAGTACCATTAGAGGATAATTATAATTAATTATTCATTAATTCTGAAAATTAAACTTTGATCTTATCAAATCAAAGTGACCTTTTTACCCCTTGAATTAATCAGTTTGGTTCATATTAAAAGAAGAGTAACGCCTTTACTCAATGCGCTTTAGTGATTTGAGGGCTCTTGTATTTTTTTTTTAATGAGATCATCACAAACCAAACGAGTTCTATGAATGAACTCTGTCATGTCTATCTCTCACGGGATTGGTTCCCGACAGTAGGTTTCATAAATCACGGTTTTCTTCTCCTTTTCTTTTCTAAGTAAATTTTCATACCTAGTTGCTCTTACTCCCAATTCATATACTTTTTTGAACTCCTTCCGTTCAAACTTCTTCTTAAGCTCAAATTCTAGTCCTTCCTTTTCTCAAGGATTTTAGCCCGACACTTGGTCCTAGCTTCTATGAATCTGTCGAGATATTCCTTGACAGACTCTCCAACATGATATTTGAACTTAGCTAAGTTTGACAGGTCTATCTCAGGTTCTGTCTTTGAAAAATAGACTTGAAAATCGACTGTATTTCTCCCCATGTGTGGATGGAATTAGGAGAAAAGTTACGATACCAAGAAAATAGCCCTCCGGTTAAAGAGTTTGGGAATAATTTAAGTTTTAGAAAGTCACAGTCGAGACTGAAACTGAACTAGAAATATCCTCATAAGCAAGCAGATCTCTGCATCCATTCTGACAGGATTGACAAAGCTTGTTATACATTTTCATGGCGATCGATGCCATATCATGATAAAGTCGTAATCCTCTTTATATGGATGATGTAAGCTTCAGGCGTCAGGCACCACAGACTGTGAATTTGAAGATGAGTTCAAGGACGATTCAAAAGCTCAGCTAGAGTTGTGTGACTCGACAATTTGGTGTTGGAATGATGACCCTATTAATTGTTTGTTCACAAAGACTGATTTTGGATTTGGTATTAGTGGCATCTATCCGGATTGATATTAACTATGAGATTAGTTTAGTTTGGTAGTTTGTATAAACACATAATTGAATTATCGAACAATGTAGAAAGAATTGCATTGATTAAGTAGTAACTCGAGTATTAGAGCTTCTTATAAGTGGTTTATTGTGGCTACTGTAATAAAGAAAGGTGAATTCTTCTCCCTGTTCATAGGTTGGCTGGTGAAGCTGACTACGATGAAAAATCCCCATGGCCTCACGTTAACTGAATCTTTGATAATCATCTTGATAGTACAATTTTAATCACGTGGCATCTCGTGAATTTATATTCTATTAATAGTACACGGTCCTCACAATCCAAACCCAACTCGATTCCAATTCCACCACCTTTTGCCAAAATGAACACTCAAATTGAGTTCAAAAAAAACATCTAATAACCGAGCTGAAGGAAAATTTAGTAATGAAGAACTATTATGCTTAGTTGGATCATTAACTGGAATTGGTGTATTCTCTTATAGCTAGTCTAGAATGATAAAGGAATAAGCATCTTCAATTCGTTTTCCCATATCCCTTTCCTTAAAATGCAATTCACAAACACCAAATATTGAGATTGCAATTAAGTGTTTATTAATTGCAAGGAGTGGATGGGAATGGGGTTTTCGGATGTTTCTAACGAAAGTTAAAAAGTGTTTTTGAACAGTCTTTATACAGCATGCTCCAAAAAATAAACCAGAAGAGGAAAATCTTTATACAGCTGTGCAAAACTAAATCAAAACTGAGAGAGTTCTATATCAGCGCACATTTAATCTTAGCTTCTCGAGGTTGTAAAGAGTACGTATTCATAGTTCTTCATGTCATTAGAAGCAGGAAATTCTCAGGTTTGTGCAGTTTTCTCTCACCATCCAATGCAAGTATGCAACTTGGAAATCATTAATTCAAAGTACTGCTATGACTTGCTTTCATGATCTGCTGTTGAACCACCAAAACTGAAATCGCACTAGTAATATCCTCAGAAGCAAGTAGGTCCCCTATCGGCCCAAGCTCTTGCAAATCAGTCCATTCTGATAGTCCTGATAAAGCTTGAGGCTCAGTTTGATGGCGACGCCCTACCAGGATAAGGTCATAACCTCCTACCATCGACTTAATTATGGATGATGTATCAGCTCCATCTCTCACAGTCTTCTCTATATAATTCATACAAGTACTTTGTGACACTTCAAGTCTGAAGTTTCTCAAAAACTCACTATCAAGCATGTGATCCCAATTTCCATAGTCTATATCAGTAGCAGGGGTGATAAAATGGATAACCGTTAAATGAACTACAAGGTTTTCTGCCATCCTTAAGGCATAAGCCACTGCCTCCCTGTCATCTGGGCCTCCAAAGAACAGTGCAGCCACACGACATTTTGACGGAAGGAAGAGAGAAGACAAGCCCTGGGTTCTACTACGATCAATGAGGATGCCAACAGAACAAGGTGCCCTTTCCAGTACGTTAATGTTCAGTTGCCTTATATCAGTGTTGCTTGAAACCATTTTGCCTTTGCTATTCCATTTCTTGTGAAATGGAATTATTATTAGGGAACAACCCTTTTCAAAAGAGAGCCAACAAATGTCCTCGTGCATCTGTTTTAGTGGCGATACTGCAGTGAACAGATTCACCCGGACAAACTTATTCTGTGGTGACTTAAAACACTTGAAGACATCAATGATCGGTTGTGAGCGGGATTCCTTATGAGAAGACATCGTTTGGCCTAATTGGTGATTGATTAGAAGAGGGGAGGCACAGCTAACAAGTTCCTCCAAGCAAAGTCCATAAACGGACAAGGGACTTTGTTTGGTAGGAGTGGAATACTCTAAGAGCTTGATTGCCGCTATAGCATCTTCTTGCCTATGCGCACAGGCAAGTATCTGGAGCTCTGCATCATCAGGAGCCTTCTCAATGGATTTATTCTGATACCCTATGTATTGGTATGCAGGATTGTAAAGCTTTTTAATAAGGAGTGGCTGAAATGCTTGTAATATAAATATTAAAAAAATTCCGCTGGCTGTGTCATGACTCTGAGAGAAAGAAAGCAATCTCGATGAGAGAAAAAGCAATTAGATGTTTGCACAGATTGGGAATTTTTAATGGAAACGAATGCAGAGATAAGAGTTATTAGGCGCTTTTCACAATTATCCACTGGTATCTAAATCCTAATCAAGTGATAGAAAGTAGTGAAAGACGTACCTTAATGTCACTGAAGCTTAAAAATTGTGCAATTTCTGTTATGCCTTTGGCATTCAAGATGACTGTGAGGGCAATAGCATGTCTTAAAGGTATCTTGCAAGAAAACGCCCCAACAAAAGTTACCAACAGCTTCATCATGTATCCAATCAATGAAACCTTGAGAAAGATGGCATCCTTAAACCGTTGGATAAATTGAAATAAATCGAGTTTGGAGGAACATAACACCGCCATGAGTGGTAGAAAAATTCCTGAAACCATTGTATCGAACTTTGCCACTAGGACTTCAGCAAAAGGAGACCGTGCGGGCACTACCAGGCCAAATACTAAAGGGCCAAACCCATAATGCAGCCCTACTAGGTCCCCAGTTAATGAGGAAAGAAACAACGTGACAATGGTAATAGTTGTGTAGAGTTGCTTCATGGGCTGACCTTCTGGGGTTCTTCTGATGAAAACGAGAATCATTTTCCTCAACACGACTACATTAAACACGATAAATGCTAGGGAATAAATAATGATCCGAACTCCCATGAAAGGTGATAAATATAGAAAATTATTTAGGAAACCAGCCAAAGTTCCGATAGTAAAGTTTGCCAATTTGCATAACAATGATGAAGCTAGAGCAAGGTGTCCAAGCTGTGAATTTATTATCTTAAGCTGCATCAAAATGCTACTGACCATTACAAAATCTGTGACGGTCACCGATGAAATAGATAAGATTGTAAAGGCTCCCTTCGCAACCTTGAATCCCGGAGTTAGCTTGTCCTCATCTATATTGTACTTAATCTCGAACGTCAGCGTTGCTAGTTGATGGAACATGATCAGCAGAAGCGCTAAAATGGTGGCTTTTCTTCCTGTTTTCCATATCAAACTTGGTTCCATTCTTACACCAGTCAAGAATGAGAACATAATGTAACCGATCTTTGCGAATGAATTAAAGACTTGATTAGGTACTACTGTAGGGAACAAGCGGTCTGAGTTTGTAATGTATGTTCCCAATACAGTTTTTCCCATTACTATACCTGCCTGGTAAACATTAAAGAGAGAAAATTAGCAATACAAACTAAAAGATTTTATAAGTACTCCAAAAGTAAATGAAAAAGAAAGATCTGTAACAAACAGACATTTCCATTTGTTGGTTAAACTACCATTGGTGTCCCAAGCAAAATAAAAGGTGAATGGAGCTTAATTTCATTAGTTACAATCAATGCCATGCTATGCATAACAAATAGAATTGGAAATCATGAAGTGATGATCAGATATATTACCAGGATCTCGGATGTGAAACGGGTGAAATGGAATCGTTTAAGCAGGAAGTGAAAAGAGTTCACGAGGAGGAACGTCGCAATCAATTGAACATGGAAACGAACTAATGAATGCTGCAGAATGCTTTCTCCATGTTTTACGTTCCATATTCCATTAGAAAAAACTTTAACATAGTCAAAGCAATCTCCGCTTACATTCATGATATTGTTTTTTGGCGTGCGCTTTCTCAATTCTTTCCTGGGTTTATCCCTCTTCGTGCAAAAAAATTAACCAAATTAAAAGAAAGAAATAAGCGCAAGAATATATACACACACACATATATATATCCAAGACATGAAAAGCTTTAAGGTAATTATTAATGATCCAGCATGGCGTTTGTTTTGATTTTGTTTCAACAGCATGCATGCATGCCGGCATAGTTCTGCTAGCCATTAGTTTGCACTTTGGCAGCTACAATTTTGGTTTCCAGTTGTGTAAACAACTCTTGTTTTGTTTTGTTTTGTTTTTTTTTTTTTTTTGGATAGAGATTCAAATTTGAGACAAACCAACACACGTTTTCTGTAGCTGTGATGTTTTTCTTTTTCTTATATATATAAATTTGTTACCTGTAACCTGTAACTTAAAAAAAAATGTACTTGGAAATCTGTAACATTTATTTGAAACTCTGTAAACTTTTTTTAGAAAATCAAATAACCCATTTTCGAGTTTCGACCACATAAATTTAGATTTTCCTTAACAACCAACTCCAAATTTAGATTCTTCGTTCTTAACAAAAACAAAACAAAATGTGCATAGAAGTTTGATAAGTAGACATCGCATTACCGCCCATGCTTCTCTCAGATGCCAATAATTTCATATGTTACGATCCTATTCTGTAACTGTTGGCACCTGGACATAAGAGGAATAAGGAGAGTTTGCTGTGCCATTAGAGGATGGTGTTGTGCCATTTATTTATTATTATTATTTTTCAATAAGAGTAGATCAATATATCACAACGAAAAGAGTCGATAAAAAAGTGGTTAAAAGATAAATTTAGAATACAAAAAAAAAAAAAAAAGATAATCTAAGTGACATCTTGTCTATCAAATAACGATGATGACAAGTTTAAATCTCATCGCACGATCAAATAAAATATAATTTATATTAGTTTAAAATTAAAACATTAGTGTCCTATCCAAAATGAAGGGAAAAAAATAAACCTTCATTACAAGAGTAGCATACGGCAGCCGTTTATATTACCAGGATTTCGGAGGTGAAACGATAAAAATGGAATTGCATGAGCACAAAGTAGAAGGAGTTCATGAGGAGGAAAATTGCCAGTAATTGAGCATGGAAACGAAGCAACGAATGTTGGACACTTGGAGAATACTTTCTTCAGGTGTTACATTCCATATTTCATTGAAGAAAGCACCAACGTTCGTGGCTATCTCCACTTACGTTCCCGATGCTTTTGGGGATATGTCCATATGCGTAATTCCTAGCTAACATCTTGGCTAATTTTATCTCTCTGCATGCAATGCAAAAATTTGGCAAAATAAAAAAAGAGAGAGGGGAAAAGGAGAATACGCTGGAAAGGAGAGAATGAAGAGATCAGAGTGATTGAATAATATATCGAAGGTATGAAAGGGTTTATGGGAATCAATGGAGGAATGTGGTTTGGCTTTGAACAATATCAGGTAGGCGTAACTTTTGTTGACCAAGTTCCCAGCTTTGGCAGCTAAGATCTGGTTTTTCAGTTTTGCAACAAACTCAAGATTTCTATAATGTACCGGCGACGCTGAGTTTCATTATGAAAAAATGATTACAAAAAGCTTACAAATCTGAATCTTTAATTTGCCATTCTTTCACTGCTTTTTCTCTTCTTTTTCTTTTTTAAATTTTGTTAGAATATAACATAAAATTATTTATGAAACCTCATTTTATAGTTTAAATTTTTAGCTAAAAGATGGTTTTTGACATGGAATCAAGATTTTATCGATAAAATAGTCATAGGTTCAAATTTCATTATTCTTATTTTAAAATCATATAAAATCATTCTCGAAGCAATCTCGCATTTTCTATTCTAAACTTATATAAATCATTTATGAAGTCTGATATAATATTTTAAATTTTTAAATTTTGATGATTCTTTCACGTAATTCTAGATTTTGTAACCTTCATTTCTAATGTTGGCTTCCGATCATTATAAAATTTCTTCAATAACGTAACTCTAAATTAGATTTTTATTTCTTATAACTGGTTTCATATATTCAATTATAGAACAGAGGCAAAATGGTCCTGCGGTTGATTTGTTGACCCTTGAAACTAATAAACCTTTTTCCTTAGTTCCGAAAGATTTGTGCGTGTCGGCTAATGTTCGGTAATCTATTAGTAAAAGCACAAGGGAACCCTCGATTTCAATTTTATGTATGAGAAGGTCTCGCCTCATCACACTGCATTATTCATCAAGTTTTAGGCCACCTACATAAAAATTAACACAACCATTAATTAGTATCAACAGAGAGAAACTCAAAACTAGGAATTTTTAACCAAAACAATATTTACATGCCAACATTCTTTTTTATACAGTCGTTGTTGATCTTTTTTATTTTTATATAACGGTTGTTGTTTGTTTTTGTTAATAAAAGAAAAAGGTTTATGTTGTATTTATGCTATATAACAATTACTTTTATATAATAATATTGTAAAGTTGGAAAAAGAGGTTGAAACTCTATAAATTTAAGTGAGCTCGGATCTAAAAAGAAAAAATCATGCAAGAATGTGAGGCTTATAATTTTATGAGACAAGACCCTACATTGCTTTTCAAATTCCACGTCATTTGGGATGCTATTTAAACAACTTTTGATATAAATAGATATTTTTCTGTCAAAAACACCTAAATACTTCAAGCTCTAATGTTTTATCTTCAATCACAGGTCATGGTCTGTGAGCAGCAAAAAAGAAAAGATTCGATTTTAGGCGCGCCTGCTAGTATTGTCTTGGGCCGCGTCCATGTAAGCACCAAAAAAGAAAAGATCCGATTTTTACTGCTGTGGAGTATTTTTTATTCCCTAAAGAATTTTTTTTATACGAATTAAAAAAATATACTACTTAGTATGTCATATTTGGACATTTTGTTTAATTTTTTTAAATACTCTTATTTTTAAAATGATTATTCATTAAATTTAATCATCTATGGCATAAAATCAATATTAATTAAAAATATTTTAAAAATGCATCATTTAAAGTTTTGATAAAATAAATATTTTAAAATAGATTTTAACCACACCAGATTAGAACAATGACGTGTTATCTACTCTGGGGATAAGGATAAGAGCCCAAAAAAAAAAAAAAACTGAATAGGCAGTTGATTGCATGATACAATGTACTCTTTCTTCGGGCAAAACAAGGTGCAGCATGAGCATGCATCTGCGTATTAATAATGATTTTTTTTTTGAGCTTTCTATTTTGGCACCATACCAAGACCACTTTATCTTTTGTGACTTTTGTCTTTATTGCTTAGTGACCCGCTCGTACTCAGTAAATTATGTTGTTCCGGTATTGCCCTCCATATTAAAATATTGTAGGAAGACAAACTTTTCGGGATATCACGAAATACAGAAAATTTCTTGCTGTCCGACCGAAGCCTAACACCTGCCATGGCTAGATCAGCCACTTTTCGTTCAGTATCGCGTTTGCATGACTTTAATAAAGCAACACGGGAACGTTTAAGGTTTTGTCTCTGTATTTTGAGTAGCCATTTATTGCGAATGAGGAGGTTGTAGCTCAATTGGTCAGTCTAGCGTCCATGTCTTTCCTTCAAGTCTCTTAAATTAAAATCTCACCTTTATAACTTTAAAAAAAAAAAAAAAAAGAGCCACGAATTTACATGCTATATGGTACTTTTCATAGATCTTAAGAGTCCTATATTGATTGTAAGATTATACTACACCATAAGCTGATAAGAAGGGAAAAAAGAAAAATGAAGCACGAGATAAATCCTCAAAGAATCAGCATAATCAAGAAAAACGTCCATAATTCTATATATATATTATCAAAATGCAAAAGATTTTTTATATATAGACACGCAAAAAAAACATCGTATTGAAATAAAAGTTTTTGATAAGTTACGGACTATTCTATGTTTCTTATTATACAATAAGAGTCTTTATATAAGAAAATTCTGAGAAAAAAATGCGGTTCATTTTATGTCCTATATAATGTAATTATAAAATATTTTATTAATATAACTTTATTTACATATAATACACATAGACACCATAGTTTTATGAAATTAAATTTCTATTCTTTTTTTTACTACTTTTGATAAATTTATTTTGTGTATATTTATTAATTAAGTGAAAATGAGTATAATGTTAATTTCTGCGGATATATATGTATATATAGTTGTTTTTCTTTTTCTTTTTATTCATATATATACATATACTAATTGTTGCCCGTGTGATATATTAGATTGAAAAAGTTTCCTGTTGTGTTTTTTTTTAAAAAAAAAAATTGTACGTCCATATAAAAATAATAAAATTAGCCATGTAATAGAAATGCCACTCTTTTTTTTTTTTAGTAAATAAAACTTGAATTTAACAACAAATTATCACAACTTTTTTAGGATACATTAACTATTAGTATGATGTATTGCATTAATTAATTGATTGTTATGTAAATAATGATATTTTACATTTTCAAGAACAACACTAAACTCATGAGTTAAAGCAATAACCTCTCCAATAACAAGGTAAATCAAAATATAATGCCTTTACAATAAGTATGCTTAGTATAGCTGTGATTTTAAAATATAATTACTTTTAGCTGTTACTATTCTAAAATCAATATTTGTTTAATGTCCATTTAAAACAAAAATAATAAGAAAAGGTTTCAATTTTAAAATGTAACTAATGTGTATGTACAATTAAGTGGTATGGTCGTTATTAAATTTAAATACAATAAAATGACTAGATTATACTTACTAAAAAGACATGATGATAATTTAATTATAAAATAATATTTTGTTGATAAATAAGCATTTATAGGTTAAGTTAACGATTCAATTCTTATAATTAATTTTTTTAAAATTTATTTTCAGAATACTTAATTTAGTATGTTAAAAAATATCATTTAACCACATTTAAAAGAAATTAATTTTGAAATAAGTGAAAGTTAATCCGGTCATATACTAAAGGTTAAAAAAAAAAAAAGACGACAATAAAATATAAAGATATGTATATTTTTATTTTTGTAAGAGATGTCATATCTGCAATAAAACCCGAAACCAAGGCCAACTTTAAAACCCAACCTCCTATATAAACATCATAGTTTTCGGATAGAAACGAATCCTTATCCTTATCAGTTTTTCTTTTCTGAAAACAGCCACCCTTCGCTCCTCTCTTGTTTAGCATAACTTCTTGTTTCAAGTGGCAATGGATGTAATTTCTCACAGATCAACATCGACATTAAATCCCAACGCTCCATTGTTTGTCCCGTTGTCATATCGAACAGTGGAGGATTTTTCCGACCAATGGTGGGCCCTCGTCCAAACCTCCCCTTGGTTCCGAGACTACTGGCTCGAAGAACGCTTCCACGATCCCCAAACTGACCCCCTATTCTCTGATATTTACGATCCTGTCCTTCCCGATGATCTCGACTCTCTTTTTTTCGACGATCTAATCTACGACACCATCGAAGGTAAGTTTCCTCCCAAATATTGATATTTCCGCTTTCACTCGCCCGAGTCAATTCTCTAACTCGGTTTTCTCCTTTTTTGGGGGGATTCTGTTGCAGGGGGAGGATGAGGAGGAGAAGGAGGAAGTGAAGGGATGCAATAAGGAATTGGTTTCGCTTGGGGTGATGAAGTGGAAAAAGGGTCGAGTTGATCGTGCTCTGTCACAGAGGCATTTGGAGAAAGCACCGAAGATTGTGAATGTGAAGCTGAGTCCAAAGATGATTCAACAACCAAGGTAGATTTTTTGTAACTCAGCGAGTTTGAGGGTAACGCAGTTGGGTTCTTTTGTATATATAGACTCGACTTTCAATTCGGTACTAGTTGTTTTTTCATGTGATTCTGTAGAAAGAAAGCACTTTCGTGAAATTTTAACTTCATTTCGGTATAATAATAAAGGAATAGAAATGATCGACATTTGATTAAATCCAGATTTTTACGATTTTTTTTTTTGGGTTAATGTGAGTTTGATTTGTTTTGAGCTGGGGGTCTTTGGACAGAGAAAGTAGATTAGATTTGATGCGGTTGTATTTGGTCCTTGGCATAATTTGGAAGGTAATTGAATTTTATAATTTACTAGAAGTATCTTCAGAAGCAAGCATATCACATAACGGCCCAGGCTCTTGGAAATGAACCCATTCTGATAGGCCTGATAGAGCTTTCGGTTCTTTTCATTGCAACGACCTATCATGTATAAGGTCGTATTCTCCAACAATTGATTTGGCTAATAGCAGATGTATCGGATCCATCTCTTACAGCCTCCTCTGTGAAATTGATATTAGCACTCCTTGACATATCTGTTCTCACATTTCTCAAAAAATCATTATCTTACACACTCTCCCAATGGTCATGGAGAAGATCGTTATGCTTGATGAAACGCATGACCGTTAGATGAACTCGGGGGTTTTTGGCCGTCGGTGAGGTAAAAGATAGTGCCCCCCTGTAATGCTCGCCTCCGACGAACAGCGTTGCCGCCCCCACGTTGTCGATGTGGCAAAAATAGCCGTAGATTCGATGTCTATCAATAAGAATGCCTACAGAACAAGGTGCCCCTTCCAGTATACTGATATTTGAGTTCCTCTATTCAACGTTGGCCAGACTGAACGTTGTCAATATTTTATTTTTCAAATTTAAGTGGCTTTAATTTTTTTATTTCTTTTTTTAGTACAGTAGATTATTTCAGAATTAGTCGTGTGATTTCTTTTTTAACAATAAAAATATTTTTTTTTATGTAAATTTAGTATTTTACAATTGTGCTTTTGTGATTTTTTATTATTGCTTGTGTGTTTCACTTGATAATTTTTCTTTTACAAAATCTAATAAAAATAAATTCCAAAAATGTTCATGTTATATACACACACACAAATAATAGAGTATTTATATGCTACTTGTCACATCAATGAAAATTAAGTACATCATTTCATGTATTTTATGTACTATACTAATGTCAAATATGTGCTTAATTTTTAGTCAATCATTAATCATTACACTGTTTTTTAGATAAAATCAGTTAAAATTCTTGTATTATTAAAAAATAATTATGTCTAATTATTTATGAATAGTAAAAATTGAAAAATGATATTAATCAATCCAAAACAACTCTCGTTAAAACATGCATGGATTTGTTATATAAACAAAACAAATCTCGGACTACAAACTTCATCTATAAGCCACCTCCAATTTTCCTTCTTTTTTTCCCCCTCTCATCAAACGTATCTACGTACTATTTTTTTGTTCATAAAAAATAGGAATTCTATTAGATTCTAGTTATTTAATTTTCATTGGAAACTTTTTGAAAATGTTGGGGTTGCTCCCGAAAAAGTTTACAGTGTGAGAGCGGATCTAAATTCAAAGTTGAAGATGCATGGACTAAAATAAACATCTTCACCATCATTGATGATGAGCTGCCGTTTTTTCGTTTTTATTCAACTAAATCAAACTATGCCGCCGGATAAATCTGCTCCACTACTAAGGCCTTCCGGTTTTCATATCGAATTAAACTTGCTTTTTTAATTGAACAAAAATTTACCAAATACTCTAGATTTTAAATTAAACTTTAGCCTAGACATGCATCCATCCAAATTGTAAATTCCTCTTTCATACCTAAGATTTTAAATAATTCTTGAATATATATATCTACATAATGTATTAGCCAGCTAATACATTAATATTTTGATTGCGAAAGGCAATCAGTCAAAACCTATACACGCATTATATGGAAGTCATTTTCCTCTCCGGTGCAATTTTAATAGGTTACAAAATTAAGTTTTGTTTTTCACTTAACTAAACAAGTTAGAATTTTTAATTTATTTATTTTAACTCATATATTTTAATATTTTTTTTCCAAACACAGCTGTAGGTTGAACTGTTTCTTGCGTAAGTAATTAATACATTGCTAAGCAAGAATGTAGGTAAAAGGGAGGAATGAGAAGGTCCTTGCTATCAGGCCCAAACATAAGGGCCCAGGGTAAAGGCCCAATTATTGCTTTTTTATTAAATTTTTTTTCTATTCTTTGGTATTAAACCAATATATCTTCTAAAATCTTGAATAATTAATTATTACTATTTTTTTGACACAACCTTATAAACTTACTTAGCGTATGATTCTTTTTTCTTATATTATGTTAGTTATTCAAAAATTAGGATATCGTATTAAAGATTAAAATCTTGCAAATAAATAGAATTTAAGTTTATATTTTAGTTAAATATATAAAATATTCAAATTGCGGCCCTTGTCCATTTGTAGTCTCCAAGAACACTTCCATGAACCCCCAGATATAAACTTTTTCCTGTAGTTGACATGTTATTTCTTTGTCTCGGAGCTTTTACATATTGCTTAAAATGCATAGAAAGTGGATTTCATGTGATTATATATGTTAGACCTTGTTGTGTGTTATTGGAAACTACGCAATCAATTTTTTTTTCCCAAATCGATGTGAGATAACACCGTAGATTTGTGTAAAATTCGGAAGGTAACCAAAGGAATTGATGGAATCAAGTAATACTCTTTAGTCTTAGATATTGCAAAAGCTAGAGAAAGACCCAAGAAATGACTATCATAGTAGCTAATAGGTTGTAAGAAATTATGCTTAGTTCGCTTATCGAGGGACCCAAATCCGGCTAACCATATGTAATAACTTGATGTGCATGTTTATACGCCCTTTACAAATCAAAATTCTTCTCGCTAGAAATTAAACCACCATGCTGATCAGGTTGGATTGTCTTCTCGGCCATGCCATCCAGTAAAGATCGATGAAATTTGAAAACCTTAATGGCCATAAGCACATACGTGGACTTAATTTGTCACTGAAACAGAGAGGAGATCCCGTCATTGATTTACTTAGCAAGGCACTTCATATCCCTCGGCTTCCCAAGTGGTTGCTGTCTTCCCAATCTTTTGAATAACTCTAATGACTTCTTCTGATGTGACATTGCCGGTCACTGTGACCTTATTGAGTTGTGTATCAACGTTGTAGGTTTCGATATCTGCAAGTCAAAAACACCGGACATATAAATTGTTAACGCGAATACAAGATCTTTTCTTTTTTTAACAAACTAAGGGTGGTCAAATTCAAGTTCAACTAGAGACTAGAAATTAAGAATAGTTCGAACTAATATGAATGGACTCGGTAAATATATATATTGTTACCTTGTATTTTTTTGATCGCTTTCAATATCTTCTTAATACATTGGTCGCAATGCAAACCCACTTTCAATTCCACCACCTATGGCCAAATTGAAGCATTAATTCAAGTCCAAAACGATTCAATAACGAACAGAAGGGAAATAGCAGATCACATACTGAAAGTAGTTAGGTGTAGCATATATACTTACGTTAGCCATTCTGTTTGATGAAAATTGCAAGTTGGTGAAATTGGAGTGAATAGTGCACTAACCCTCTGGAGTAGCTAGACAGAGTGCTGGAGATCAAGAGAGAGAGAAATATGGAAACAAATGTTAATGTTTGGCAAAGTGACTAGTACTTTGGGCATATAAATGACAAGTTGAGAGGGGTATTGGATTCTTTACTTGATCGATGAAAAGTATCACCTTTTTTTTTATGATAAAGCTACCTTTATTCCCGTAATGTTGACTCATGAGAAAAGAGTTTCCACACAAGTGGGCAAAAATGCATAATGCTGCCTGGTTTGATTGGGACAAATATACAAAGGTTTTCTGTGCAGCACTATTTATTCTGTTCAAACCCAATTGTTTTGATTTATGGAAGCCAGTAAGCTACAAAGTTTCGTGATCTTTGGTTTTCGTTAGCTTTATTGAGTAAATTGTGGGGAAAATACAGGTTTTGCTTTTCTGCAGAATATATAAAGGATCATAATTATGTGCGAAAATCTGCCAATTAGTTGGTGAATATAAAAGGTTCATGGTTGCAGCTAGAAAGAGCGGACGAGAGAGCGTCACTTTTCCTGCTGCGCATTGATTGATATGAAAAAACCTGAAAAGACAAAATGTGCTATTCTTTTTAGGTAAATTCATACTCTTGGGAAGCACCATGCCCTGTCTCGAGACTTTCTAGTTTCAATTACGGATGGCAAAATTTGACCTTTTAGAAGTTTGCACGTACCCTTTTTTTTTTTTTTTTTTGTGCTTGTACCGGAAGATCTCCGAGAGAACGAGCCAAAACAATAGTAAAACCGGTAAAATATAGAATATCGGGCTTCCAGGTGAAAAGCAGGGGCGAAACTAAAGGAGGGGGCCTTGACACTCCCAAACTTTTAAAAAAACCTACATTTTAATGCTAAGCTTTTCATTTTTTTTAAATATACCGTTCAATCTAAATTCTATGTTACAGAAAATATATGTTTTGCATCCAAAAATCACTTATTATCAAATCGACAACTCCAATCCTAAATTTTTTGTTTCGTTCCTAGTGCAGAGCTACAACAAAATGAATGAATGCATATCAATGTGAAAACGGCTACAAGGTTAATCATAAAAGAAAGTAACAAGGATCAACATAAATCTAAAGCAAACAAGGGTACAACTAAAACAATTGAAAAATTAAGGGGCATTGTGAAAATTTATGAGGAGCAACATAATTCAAAGTTCGCACCGGGGAAAGGGGTGGGTATGCATTTCTAATTGAAAGGACACAAAATATAAGAGTCGTATTAAACTTTTTGAAATATTTGAGGAGGGACTGTAGATATCTAATTTTCAACTTATTGTAATCATAAGAATATACTTTGGATAGGGATTACGGTGCATATTTGAGGATGCAATC